ATATATATATCCCAGCATATTCCATACTGTGCTGATCCATCTTTAGATGGCAAAGGAAGGACAGGCCCTAATTTCTTCACGCCAGGAAATGGAAGCTCAGCGCTATTGAGCTGAGTCAAACCCTGCTCTGCCTGACTTCAAAGGCCTAGTTTTCTGGTCTGTTTGAAAATGAGTTGGCGGATTTAGCAAAACAAATGAGATAAGACTCTCCAAGCTGTTCAGAGGTTGCTGGCCTCACTGTATGGGGTTTGCAAGTTAACATGAACTTCATACATTTCCTGTTGTATCTTGTCCTAACCCAGCTTTCAGGGATGGGGAGCTTGTAGTCTTGGTGGGAGGTGGGAGTGAACCACAGAACTTGCAGACCCTACAGATAGGGATTTCTTTTCTTTTTTTTTTAAGGGGAGTGAGTTTACCATGAGTCCTGGGTGTGGCTCTGTAGGATAAGCAGTGGACTGCTGAACTCAATGTGGCTGGTTCAGACCCACCAACTGCTCCTTGGAAACCCTATATAGGGTCACTGTGAGTTGAAGCAGACTCAGTGCACTTAGCAATGATAGTGATAACTAAAGAACATGCCCAGTATTTTCAGTGTTTGTAGGAGTTGATGTGAAGTGAATTAGCTCATTTAGACAATGTGTACCAAAAGGTCAGCTATTGGCTTCCTGTGAAATGGATTCAGGATCTGCTAGGAATCTGTGCCCTCACATTTCATGGTGGTGGTGGTGTTGTCGAGTCATTTCCGACCCATAGCTATCCTGTATAGGGTTTCCAAGGAGCAACTGGTGAGCTGGGACTACCGACCTTGTGGTTCAAACAACTTTGCAGTCCAGTGCATTAGCCCACAGTGCCACATCATAAAAGTGTTTGAATTGGGATTCTATGCATACTGTTTCTTTAACCTTTATTTTCCCATAACCATACCTCTTTTTTTGAAAAAAAAAAAAAAAAAGCGATGCTAACAACATTGGCAGTGGGCAGCACTTGGGGTTGGAGTTCAAGCTTTGGGCTGCCTGGGAAATCTATCAGGTTTTGTCTCTGAAGCCCCAGTTTTCTTACCTGTGAACTGAGGTCCATATAATACTTTAGTAGGGTCATTGGGGGTGACTGAATGGCTGCTGCAAGGCAGAGTACTTGGACCAGTGCTTTGAACCTGCTCTTTTACTGTATACGTCTGACTATTATTAACAATGGTCCCCTGATGGTGTAGGAGCCAAGGGTTGGGCATAGGGCAGCACAGCAGGGAGGGTGGGCCTGGCGGGTCTACAGGCTCCTCACAGCCCCTCAACTGTGTTCTCTCCCCAGGACACCATCCCATTGGAACATCACTCCCTAGGATTCCCTTGCCCAGAGCCGGGAGCAGGCTGGGATGGTGCCTGGGGAAGCCTCCGAGTCTACCCAGTGCCCGTGCCCTCCCCTCACCAGCCCGCATGCCAAGGATGTGCTTCGGAGACGGCACAAGAGGAGGAGCCGGCAGCTCCAGCGATTCATGGCCCGGAAGGCCTTGCTGCAGGAGCAGGGCCTCCTGAGCATGCCCCCAGAGCCAGGGCCCTCCCCACCACCCACACCAGCAGAGGCTCCACCAGGCACTGAAGCAGCCAGCAGTGGGAGGCCTTGTCCTCGGGCTCACTCTGGGGGCAGCTCATGCAGCAGAAAGCCGGGCCCCGGGAGTGTCAGCAGCCCCTTGCCTAGCAAGTTAGTGGCCATTGATTGTGAGATGGTGGGCACTGGGCCCCGAGGGCGGGTGAGTGAGCTGGCCCGCTGTTCTGTGGTGAGTTACCATGGCGACGTGCTCTACGACAAGTACATTCGGCCGGAGATGCCCGTCGTGGACTATCGCACCCGCTGGAGCGGCATCACTCGGCAGCACATGCACAAGGCCATCCCCTTCCAGGTGGCCCAGAAAGAGGTGAGGACAGAGATGATGACAGCACCCCACCCTGAGCTGGCTGGTGGCTTGTCTGGTTGGCTGTAATGGGCTGGGAAGAGGAGCTCTAGGAAGCTGAGAGAACTTAGGGAAGTTAACTGACCTTTTCCAAACATTTAGTTGCTTCCCTATAGAATGTTGTTAAGTGCCGTCGAGTTGGTTCTGACTCATAGTGACCCTGTATAGGGTGTCCGAGGAGCGGCTGGTGAGCTTGAACCACCGACCTTGCGGTCCAGCACATTAATCTGCAGCTGCACACCAGGGCAAAGAAAAGTCCCATCCCCATGTGTTTATAGATAATCCCTGGGTGTGGGCCAAACTGCTAAGGAAAAGGTTGGTCGGACCTTATTGTGAAATAATGGAAAGAGAGTTATCTGAAATCAGGAGGAAAGTTGTTACACCAGCTGTGCATGGGTGTGGCCGAGGACTGACCCGGTGGGCGGAGGTCACAGGTGCTGAGGTGTGAGCACTGGGTTATTCCCACATAGCTCAGGTCAGTACCTGCGGGTTTCTCTGTTCACCTGGTAGTTCTCAAGGATCAGCCGTGCATTAGCACAGGTGAAGTTTGCAGTATTCTTAAGCTGCCCTAATACAACAGTCACGTTAGCACAGATGTGCATTTTCACATTTGCGGAATGTCTACAATGTGCTTGTTGTCTCCACAGAGCTGGCTTTTTAAATAAAAGCCCTGAGTTGTTAGCTAAGTTTGGGAAATAGATTTATCATCTGGTGTCCTGGTTTTCCAGCTGACTGGAAGAGATCCATATTTGTGCCCATTCCAAAGAAAGGTAACCAAGCCAACAGAATGGGGAAATTATCTAGCTATCGTTATATCACATGCAAGTAAAAAATCTTTCTGGTGATAATTTAAAACTAGTTGTAGCAGCAGCAGCAGCAGCACATTAACAGGGAGCGGCCAGAAATTCAAGCTGAACGCAGAAGAGGACTTGTAACAAGGGATATCATTGCCGATGCCACATGGATCTTGGATGAAAGTAGTGAATACTAGAGAGAGATTTGCTTGTATGTTATTGACAAAAAAGGCATTTGACTATGTGGATCATATCAAACAACACTGCAAAGAATAGAAATTCCAGAATACTTTCTTGTGCTCATGAGGAACCTGTACAGAGACTTGGAGGCAGTTGATTGGAACATAAAAGAACAAAGAGAATACTGCGTGGTTTAAAATCAGGAAAGGTGAGTCAGGGTCTGTCTTCTCACCATACTCATTCAGTCTCTATGTGGAGCAAATAATCCAAGAAGCTGGACTATGTTAAGAAGAACTCAGCATAAAGATTGGAGGAAGACGCATTGTCAACCTGCGATATGCAGATGACACAACCTTGTTTGCTGAAAGCAAAGAGGACTTGAAGTGTTTGCTGATGAAGATCAAAGAATGCATCTTTAGGTATGGATGTCAACTCAATGTCAAGAAAACAAAAATGTTCACAACAGGCCCAATAAAGAACATGATAAATGGAGACAAGACTAAAGTGGTCAAGGATCCACTTTCAATGCTTATGGAAGCAGCAGTCAAGTCAAATGACGTATTGCATTGGGCAGATCGGTTGTACAAGACCTCTTTAATGAATTAAAGAACAAAGATGTCACTTTGAGGACTGAGATGCACCTGACCCAAGCCGTGGTATTTTCAGTGGCCTCATATGCACGTGAAAGTTGGACAGTGAATAAGGAAGGCCAGGGAAGAGTCGATGCATTTAAGTTTTGATATTGACAAACAACGTTGAAAGTGCCATGGACTACCGGAAGTAAAAACAAATCTGTCTTAGGAGAAGTACTGCCAGAATGCCCCTTGGAAGTAAGGATGGTGAGCTTCTCCCTTACTTTAGACGTGTTGTCAGGAGGGACTGCTTGGTAGGGGGGTCAGTGACAAACAGGAAGACCCTCAATGAGACGGCTGACACAGCGGCAGCAGCAGTGGGCTCAAACGTAACAACCATGCTGATGGCCCAGGACCGGGCAGGGCTTCCTTCGGTTCTAGGTCGGGGTCACTATGAGTCGAAGCTGATTTGACGGCATCTGATAACAACAGCCCTCCCAGTTATATCCTAAGCATTTCCTTAAAAAAAATCGGGAACTTATTTGTCAAGCTAATCGGGAAGAGAGACAGTGGGAATGGAGGCCTGTGGTGAATCCTCAGTCCCTTCTGTCTGCTCAGTTGGTGGGACCCCTAAGAGCAGAGCCTTAATTGTTGTCAGCAGAAGGCAAGGGGACAGTGACTGGTGGAAAGAAGGACCAGAACCCAGCACAGAGGACTGGGCATTGTTGGTGCTAGCCGGGGGCCTGGTCGGAAGGCGGGAGGGGTGTGTGTGCGCAGAAGGCCTGAGCTGAGCCGGCAGGAGGGTGACGGAGGAGTCAGCGGCAGAGCTGGGACTGAGGGAGCAGAAACCTGAAGACGGGACTGTTGTCGGTTAATATTAATTCTCTCACCTGTTGGTTTCTACTCATGGCCACCCCACATGTGTTAAGTAGAACTGTGCTCCATAGGGTCTTCCAGAAGTTTATACAAGTTATGTGTAAAGGTCTTTAGGCTTTTCGAAAATGTCATGGTGCCACTGGATGACTTTGAGCCACCAACCTTTACAGCTAAGCACAAACCATTAATGCCACTCATTTGCAGTTTGTCTTCTAGATCCAGGCATAGGTCTCTTGACTCAAACCAGAAACCACTGCCAGCTCTGACTCAGGGACCCTATCTAGGACCGAGTAGAACTGCCCCTTTGGGTTTCCAAGTCTGTAAATCTGCGCTGGAACAGATAGCCTCCTCTTTCTCCCCCAGAGTGGCTGGAAGGTTTGAACTGCCAACCTTGCAGTGAACACTCCAGCACTTAACCCACTGTGCCACCAGGGTTCCTTTGACTCACTCAGCAGGTTTTTAATGGTTACCTGGGTGTCGGGGCTTTCACTGAAACCTCACTCTTCAAGTCAGAGTTTGTTCATGTCTGCACTCACGGGCTACAGTGGAGGATGACGGGTAGACATCCTAAGAGGTGGCTGTTAAGCAGAAGCTGGAAAGCAAAAGCAGGAGGCTGAGATGGAACAATAGGATGCCTAGTTAGGAGGGGCAAGGGCACCTGAGGAGGTGACATTCGGCTGAGACCTGCAGCATGGTAGCAAGGGCAGCTGAGGAGGTGACATTCGGCTGAGACCTGCAGCATGGTAGCAGGGGCAGCTGAGGAGGTGACATTCGGCTGAGACCTGCAGCATGGTAGGAGGTGTCGGATACAGTTCCTTGTTGACGGTGATCTCTAATTCCCATTGCACCTCGGGGACATTGTTTTTTTGGAGAGAACTTTGAGTCTGCCCCTGTTAACGCTAGTGCATGGAAGGACCTGGGTTCAAACTCAGGAGAGCCTTGTTGATGGTGAAGCTCATGGTTTCCTCCCTCTAGAGACAACCAGCCTCTGAAAGGTAAGGGCTCTCAGGATGGACCCCCATCCCAGCCTGACAGAGGTCTGCCTTTTTCCTCCTTTCTGCCCCGCCCCCACAGATCCTCAGGCTCCTGAAGGGTAAGGTTGTGGTGGGCCACGCGCTGCACAATGACTTCCAGGCCCTGAAGTACGTCCACCCTCGGAGCCTGACCCGTGACACCACTTACGTCCCGAGCCTCCTCAGCCCACCTGGTCACCAGTCCCGGGCCCGGGTCTCCTTGAAGGAGCTGGCCCTGGAGTTGCTGCACAAGAAGATCCAGGTGAGTGTGGTGTGGACGGCCGGTGGGACCTCTGTCCAGTGTCCTTCCCCTCCAGTACAGGGTACTGCCCACCTTCCCCAGTGCTTACATCACACAAACACATTCTTCCAGATCTGCCCTCCACCCAGCTCCTCACTCTGGTGGTCGGTTGGGGGTAGAGGGCAGTGCTTTGCACACTGTGTTAGTCCAGGTTCTCCAGAGAATCAGAACCAGTGGGACATGTATGTATGTATGTGTATATATGATGAGAAATTTCTTTTAAGGAGTTGGCTCATGCAGTTGTATGTGGAAGTGAGACCACATGCTAGAAATTCCAGCCGTTGTCTGTTTGTTGGGAAAGTTCAGTTTTACATTTAAAGCACGGAGTCAGTTCCAACTCCTGACGCTCCTGAATAGGGTTTCCAAGACTAAATCTTTACAGGAGCACACAGCTTAGGTTCTTTCTTTCATGGAGCAGCTAGTGGGTTTGAACTGCTGACCTTTCAGTTACCAGTCTAATGCCTCGCTCATAGCACTATGAGAACTCCTCTTTGTAAGTCAGGCTGAACCGCTTCACTTAAAACCTAGCCCCAAACCCCCACTGTGCCATAAGCAGGAGGCTGGAAGCAGTCTGTGATCACTAGTCTTTGAAGTTCAAGACTTCACTGCTTGCCAGTTGAGGACCGACTTCCAGAAGTGAGACGGCTGTGAGGGGGCTGAGATTGAAGCTCCTATCTGCTGGACTCTTTCCCAGTCCCGCGTGGGGATGTGTGTTCTTGGGTTGGCCTTCTCTGGGGACTGCCCGAGTGAGGTGTTGCCTCTCGTCTGCAGGCGGGCCAGTGTGGACACTCGTCGGTGGAGGATGCCATGACCGCCATGGAGCTATACCGGCTGGTGGAGGGGCCATGGGAGCAGCGGGAGGCCAGCAGTCTCCGGGCCTGCCCCGAGGATAGAGAGCCGGACAGCAGCACAGATGTGGAGCAGTACATGGAGGACCGGTACTGGCCTGAGGACCTGGCCCAGGGGCAGACACAGGACACAACGGAGTGAGGGTGAGGACAGCCTTCCACTTGCACGGATGAGAGGTGGGGGCCAGGGGGTCGCTGGTGGCTGATGCTGGGCAGGCGGGAGGCAGGCAGAGGAGTGAAGGCCGCGTCTGTCTTCTTGACTAGCTCTACCTGACCTCTGTCGGCACTTCCTCCTGGACTCCTGTGGCTGGCCTAATAGCACTTACAGATGCCATGGAAACGTCAGGTACACTGTGTGCCCAGGCTGACGCTGGCCTGCCTCCACCCCAGATTTTCTGAGGTTGCCATGTTGTGCCAGCTAAAGGGATCATTTCCGCCCTGGAGGTGGGAGTCGAGAGTGTCCCTCTCCTAGTACCTGAGTGCTCCCTTATCTCAATTTGGTGACCCGGGGTCAAGTTCTGTTCTTGTCATTGCTACCTACTTCCTCTTCCAGAGTCATTTTTGGATGCAGAATAAATATGGCATGAAGGTGTAGAGTTGTTGTTAGGTGCCCTCAACTCAGTACCGACCCGTAGTGGCCCTAAACACTGCTCGGTCCTGGGCCAGCCTCACAATTGTTGCTCC